TGATTATCGCAGATTTTGAGTAGTCTGTGCTGGATGGAAATGAAGCAGCCTGTCTCATCGAGTTGACCCAGGCTCACAAGTTTGTCGTGCGCCTTGCCTGCATGCGCAGCCGTCGTTGATTATCGCAGATTTTGAGTAGTCCGTGCTCGATGGAAATGAAGCAACCTGTCTCATCGAGTTGACCCAGGCTCACAAGGTTAGCCTTGAGCCTCGGGATGAAGTAGACGTTGGTCAGCTTGCGATGCTCGCCTCCCTTGCTGGTGAACAGGATGGTGTCGAGTTCTTCGATCTCGGCGACGGAGCTGTCGCCGAATTTCACCGTCCCGCAGATCCCCGAGTCGAGCTTGGAGAACGCAGATCTAGCCCCGGTCATATGGTTTGTTGCCCTTGTGTCTAGGATCCATCACCGGTGCTTGTGTTGCTCGTCCCGCTCACCGATCTGAGCGAACACTCGCTCCTCCTCCAGTTGAATTGGCTCCCTAGCTGGTACCACCTTTGCTACGCCCAGCTGGAGCTCTTTCTCGAGTTCAACATCGTTGTCGATTACCTCTATCTCCGTGGATTTGGAATCGACGATGGGACACATGCACTTACCATGAAGAGAGCTGGCTCGTCCTCCTCGGATTGAGCCACATGGGCTTTTTCGGCCTTCTCCTTGTGCTCCTAAGCTTGCTCCAGCAACTCCTGCTCAGGTGTCCTCTCTTCGGTGTCCCTCTCTTCCCACAGTTCGAGCAAATCAGCCTGCCATTGGTCGACTCCTTCGTTTGATTCCCATATTTCCCGCGCGTGCGCCCGTGGGACATCCATGGCTTCTTATCGTCTTTGCAGCTGGAGGAGAACCCGTTGCTCTCGCCGGTGTTGTCACGGAGCTTTAGACGTTCAAGTCATTCCTCCTCAGTGAGGAGTAGACTAGACGACCCTCCTTGTCAACAGCTGAAATGGAATTTTTCTTCTGCTGCTCGACGTTATGCAGTCTTCCGGTCACCTCTTTCCACCTTTAGGTCATTAGGGACAACCTACAGGCATCTTCTTCACGATTTCTGTCTCGCTGATGCTGCCACCGAGTGTGGTGATGCTGTTGGCGAGCCCCGTGATCCACATTGAAAAATCATCAACGGTTCGCCGTCCTTAAAGTGGATATCCGAGAGCTCCTTCTGCAGCTACTCGATGTTGGATTCCCGCACTCGCTGTACACATCGCCGACCCGATGGGATTTGATTCCCTCCCAAGCCGATTGCGCAGTGCGCTTGGTGGAGAGAGATGCAAAGATGCCAGCATCTTTGGGGGGCACAGATCGTAAATACCAACCGATCCTCACGCGGTACTCAATCGTTTCTCCCCTTCCTCTAGCTCGACAGCATGCCAAAACCCTTGCGCCTGTAGGTTGAGGCGCATCAACAAGATCCATTCGTTATATTTGGACTTTGTCATAACTAAAGGACAACAATCGTTGCCCACGGATGTGTGTGTTTTTACACACTTTGCATTTTCTTCTACTCTCCGCAATGATATACACCGATGGCTTCAACCAAGCTCTGATACCACTTGTTGTTTTTCGATAATCAGCCAGAGAAATTCGGTGAGAGGAAAGAATGGCTGAAATTTTGATGCGTTCAAAATTAGGTTATACAATATTCTGAACAGATTTCCTATTTAAATATAAACTATCCTAAAAATGGTTGGAGAGTGGCCAACTAAATTTGTGCCACTCCCTACAAAATTGTCGTCTAAAATGGCTGGAGAGTGGCCAACTAAATTTGTGTCACTCCCTACAAAATTGTCGTCTAAAACTTTGGTGATCCATTCGACGTATTTTGTCAAATGGTCAAACGGAAGTATTCTAAAATCGTGTGAATCTAAATAAGGAAAAACTGAAAAAACCCAGGTTTTATCTAACAAGCATAAGCCACACTACCGAACACTTTGAGATAAGAGATTGTAGGCTTTTGTCCGCTCCAAGGCTCTTGTGGTGTTTGATCATCTAACTTCACATGTGGACATCGATTTTGTACGTAGATGGTGCATTGCACAGCTTCTGCCCAAAATTCCTTCGGCATCCTTTTGCTCTTGAGCATTGAGCAAACCATGTCAAGAATGGTCCGGTTCTTTCTCTTGGCCACACCATTTTGTTGAGGGGTGTACGGTGTGGTTAGAAATCGTCTTATGCCTTGCTCCTCGCAGTACTCCATGAAAGCCGTCGGAGTATACTCGCCACCTCTACCGAATCGTACAGCTTTGATATGTCTACCAGTTTCCTTCTCCACCATTACTTTGAACTTTTTGAGCACCTAGATGCCTTGGATTTTCCTTTCAAAAAGTAAGCCCAAGTTTTTTGTGAGTAATCATCGATAAAGGAAATGAAATAGCTCTTTCCACCGAAGGACTCGGGGGGTAATTGATCCACATATATTTGTATGGATCAACTCGAGAGGTTGTTTGGCCCAAAATCCAGCCTTCTTTTGAATTGAGGTTCTCGCATGCTTGCTGAGCACGCATCCTTCACAAAATTTTCTTTCAAAGTCCATGTTTGGTATCCCATGTACCATATTCTTCTTCGCTAACTCCTTTAGGCCGCCATGGTAGGTGACCAAAACGGAAATGCCACAGTGATACCTTGTCTTCTACGTCGACTCGCAAACACTTTTCTCGTATGCTTCTTAAGTTCAATTTGTACATCCGATTTTTTCCTATCTCGTCTCGAGCAACCAAGCGCCCTTGCTTATCCTTCAGGTGTAGCAGGCAGTCCTTTAAGAATATCAAGTAACCTTTCTTTGTGAGTTGCCCTATACTCAATATGTTGATCTTGAGGTCTGGTATGTAATAAAAATCTTGGATTGATCCCATTACACCATCCTTTTGCAAGAAATGTATCGTACCTCGGTCTTTGACCTCCACTTTTGACGCATCTCCAAATGACACGTGACCATCTTCAATTTTTTGCATCTCTTTGAATAGGTACTCGTGACCACACATATGGTTGCTTGCCCCTGAGTTGAGGTACCACAGAGTGTTGTTGTTGATGTTCTCTTCATCTTGAGCCATCAAGAGAACACCTTCATTTGTTACGTCTTCCAAGGCTAGGTTGGTTGCTCCTTTCACCCTTTTTCCACCTCAGCAAGCTTTTGCAACGTGCCCCATTCTGCCACAAATGTAACATTTTTTGGAGTTACAATTATTTGCATAGTGGCCATATTTTTTACATTTGTAACACTGGACGTTAGAATTATATCCTTAACCGCATCCTTGATTGCATCCTCTTTCACGCCGATTTGCTTGGCTCGACTGTCTTTTCTCCTTATAAATTTCTTCATTTCTGCTGTCTTGACCACCTCGAACATTTCCGCGACTTCCTTGACCTCTACCTTGAATATTTTGAGAGTAGAGTACCTTTTCATCCTTTATTGATGTCTTAGTCTTAAGCGCTTGATCAAGTGTCTCCTCTTCCTTTTTCTTACGTTGCTCATGTGCCTCGAAAGAATCGGCAGCTCATCGATCGTGAACTTCGCTAGGTCCTTTGACTCTTCTATGGCACTTACAACATTCTCAAAGTTGTCAGTTAACGACCTCAAGATCTTCTCCACAACCCACGTCTCAGGTACCATTTCTCCATTTCGATTTAGTTGGTTTGTCACGGTCTGTATGCGTGTAATGTAGTCAGATACATTTTCTGACTCCTTCATCTTCATGCTCTCCAACTCGCCACGCAGAGTTTGGAGACGCACTTGTTTGACTCAGTCGGTTCCGTTGAACACCTTTTCTAAAGTGTCCCACACTTCTTTTGAAGTAGTTTCCCTTGCAATCTTCTCAAAGTTCGACTCGTCAACAGCCCGGAACAGCATGTATAATGTTGCCTTATTCTTTGATCGTAATTCTTTTAACGCCTTGTTTTGCGATGTCGTATAACCCGTGGTATCCTTTGGTTTTTCGAAACCTTCTTCGACCACCTCCCATGCGTCTTGAGAACCGAGAAGAGCTTTCATTTGGATGCTCTAATTCTCGTAGTTCGTTTTCGTTAATCGTGGTAGCGGCATTTGTCCCATCATATTTATCATCGGCTCTAATAGTAATTTATTGAAGAAAAAAAACTCGCTCTGATACCAATTTGTAGAAATAAAAGCTCGCTTTGATACTAATTTGTTAAAATAACACTAAAAAAATGAGAAAAGGAGACATAATTTTGAAAAATCTTTTTCTATTGCTCTTTATTTTATTTTATTTTTTGTTCTCTACCTCTCTTTTCTAAATATAGCCATCATTATCCGAATGACATTATTTTCTAACCCATAAACCTACTCTTTCCTCAATTAATTACTGGCCTTTTCATTTTCCTTTTCCCACTCCATTTCAAAAATTTACTAAAATTAACAATAAAATAAAATAATAAAAAAATTAAAAATTTAAAAATTTACTAAAATTAACAAAAAAAAAAAAATTGATTTTTTTTTCATTTAAATTTATTCCCAACAAACTTAAGTACCGACTTTAGTTAATTTTAAAGGCCGGTAGGGTAACAATGAAAATGACTCCTTCTTTAGTAAGATTATATGAGCAAATGCTTGAACCAAAATATGTTATTGCTATAGGAGCATGTACAATTACAGGAGGGATGTTCAGTACCGATTCTTATAGTACTGTTCGGGGAGTCGATAAGTTAATTTCTGTCGATGTGTATTTGCCGGGTTGTCCACCTAAACCTGAGGTTATTATAGATGCAATAACAAAACTTCGTAAGAAACTACCTCAAGAAATCTATGAAGATCAAATTAAGTCTCAAGAGGAGAATCGGTACTGATTTCAGGACTAAAACGACTTAACTTTCATTGTAGAATTACTGATATTTAAAGTGAAAGATGTAATTACAGTGTTAAAATGACTTTTTTGACTCCATTCTAATGACCAACCCCTCTTCAATGATCCATTTATTTGTAATGATTATATTCCTAAAGAGATAATTAATTTAAATTTCAACAGGAGCTTATCAGTAAAACGTATAAAGAATATCTCTAAAAGGCAGCTGAAGTAAAATTTATTGTACAAACTCTACAATCTTATTAGTTTGAATGCACAAAAATCACATAAATGATGTATAAATCCTATGGTATGTTCCTCATGATTCCAAACATATCTATCTTTTCCACATTTTCGTAATACATCATACATTCCCAACGCCAAAGACTCGAAAACATCGAACGATACGATGTAACCGGTTTGAACATTGGCCTAACAATTCGTTCATTACCTCATTCCTTAACCATATGACTAAGAAACAAATGACAGAAACCATTGGAACGATACCGCGTAATTGGGGATCACCTTGTCCTGCATAGGTTGCCTCATTGCAAGATCGACTTCGAGTTCCCCAGATTTTATGACTTTGCACCTGAAAAACATCTCGTTTTTCCACGATCGTTCATACCGGTTCGCTATTACGTGTTTAGATAAGAAGCTTGGGTTCTACATTCTATAGGAAGTATGTAAGCTGTTGCTTTTTTCTCGAACCTCCCTCTCCATACAAATCATTCCATTGCTTCAACTCATTCATAACTGATCCCTCAGAAGCAAAACTTGCAGCAACCTGCAATACATTACACATGAGGATACGGGTTAATTTCTACGTACAATATTGAAAAGAAACTAGCTACATGTGAAATCCCACATTGGTTGGGGAGGAGATCGAAGCATTCTTTATAAAGGTGTGGAAACTTCTTTCTAGCAGACACGTTTTAAAAATCTTGAGGGGAAGCCCGAAAAGAAAAGCCCAAAGAGGACAATATCGAGCTGTTACAAATGTTATCAAAGCCAGACACCAAGCAATATGTCAGATAAGAGGCTGAGTCCCGAAGGAGGGTGGACACGAGACAGTGTGCCAGCAAGAACGCTGGGCTCCGAAGGGGGGTGGATTGGGGGGTCCCACATCGATTGGAGAAGGGAACAAGTACCAGCGAGGACGCTGGGCCTCGAAGGGGGTAGATTGTGAGATCCCACATCGGTTGGAGGAGAACAAAGCATTCTTTATAAGGGTGTGGAAACCTCTCTCTAGCTGACGCATTTTTAAAATTTTGAAGAGAAGCCCGAAAGAGAAAGCCCAAAGAGGACAATATCTGCTAGCGGTGGGCTTAGGCTGTTACACTACACAAGCCTTGAAGAAGTCGTCTCACATAATTAAGGCAAGAACAGATATTCACCTGATTTTTGGCCTGCCTCATATCATCCATATTTAAAGGCCTCAGAATGATGACTTGTTCCTCTTTTCCTGCCTCATTCGTAACTGTAGTGTTTTCCAAATCATTTTTGGTCTCCTTCTCGATCTCGATCTCATTTTTCGTCTCCTTCTCCTTCTCCTTCATCTCACTCTGCTTCTTTTCCTACAGCAGATGGAAGTTGCAGAAACTTATTAGCAGAAATTGATGATAACAATAAGATAGAGGAATAAGTTCAACGGAAGTTACCAAATCCTTCAATCTCTCTTGTTGCAAGAGCTCCCGAACAGGCCGATAAGCTGCGGTCACACACAAATTCTGTTGCCAGACATAAAGTTCATGAGCTGATCAATGGAACAAAGCAATCAATTCATAAGACATAAGTTAGAGGACACACCTTGAGATCACTTCCACTGTATCCTTCTGTCATAGTTGCAAGCTCCTTGAAATCAAGATCTTCAGCCTTCTCCTTTGATAGAAGAGTTCTCATGATCATTTCCCTGCTCTCCACGGACGGAAGACCAACCATAATTCTGTTTGATCGAATATATCGAACGGTTAGAACACGAGTCTCCCAAGAAGTTTTCGCAAACTAAGGATAAATATTATAATCTTACCTGCGCTCGAATCGCCTAATGATTGCTTCATCGAGGTCAAATGGCCTGTTGGTTGCAGCAAGAACTAGTATTCGTTCATCATTCCTAGTCAGGAGTCCATCCCAGTGTGACATGAATTCATTCTTAATCTTCCGCATGGCCTCGTGCTCTCCCACTCTAGTCCGTTGGCCAAGCATGCTATCAACTTCATCAACAAAAATAATCGTAGGTGAGACTTTTGCTGCAAGCGTGAACAATGCTCGGACGTTCTTTTCATCTTCCCCAAACCATTTAGAAGTGATTGTGGACATTGAAACATTGATGAAACTTGCTCCAGCTTCATTAGCAATGGCCTTTGCTAGCATTGTTTTACCCGTTCCAGGAGGGCCGAAAAGTAGAATGCCCCGACACGGTTTAAGAAGACCTCCTTTAAAGAGGTCTGGTCGACGAAGAGGAAGCATAACTAGTTCCTGTAAGGACTCTTTGATCTCATTCATAGAACCAATGTCTTCAAATGTCACCCCAATTTCATTTGCAGGGATAACCTCGGGTCTTATACGCTTTTCAAATTCGTTGTCGGGAGGAATTTCCTGTCGGAAGTGCCAACAGTGACCAGCACATATGAAAACAACACGACTCGTAAGAAACGTACTTCACACATCAAACAAAGGTAATTAGATTACCAACAACTTATAAAATTAGTGAGCTTTCTCTTATGGGTTTCCCATCCAGGTTTTAAAATGCGTCTGAGAGGTTTCCACACTCTTATAAAAAATGTTTTGTTCTCCTCCCCAACCGATGTTGGATCTCACAACCACCAACCCTTTGGGGTCAACGTCCTTACTGGCACATCGCCTGGTGTCCGGCTCTAATACTATTTGTAATAGCCCAAACCCACCAGGCGATGTTACAAATGGTATTAGAGCCAGACACTGGGCAATGTGCCAGTAAGGACGTTGACCCCAAAGGGTTGGTGGTTGTGAGATCCAACATCGGTTGGGGAGGAGAACAAAACATTTTTTATAAGAGTGTGGAAACCTCTCTCTAGTAGACACGTTTTAAAACCTTGCGGGGATGCCCAGAAGGGAAAGCTCAAAGAGAACAATATCTACAAGCGGTGAGCTTGCGCCGTTACAATTTTAGTTGTTTGTGACCAAAATAAATGCAATCCATGAGGAATAGAATGAACTGTAATATGCTGAAGACTCAAACTTACAGGTGCTTTTTGTGGAGGTACATTTTCAACATCTTTTTTCACTATAGGAACAGATTTCTCTGCCTCATTTCTGTTTTCTGCAGCTGGGTTTTCAGATTTCGATTCCGTCTTTGCCCCAATCGCCTCGTCCCTCTGGGCTACCTGCAAAAAGTTACATTTTTCAATATCACAATAACAAAGGAGTACAAAGAGTCAGGTCATTGAAGCAAATTCTCGAGACGTATATCGAACCTTAGATGATTCTGCGTTCGTCTCTAGCTTTAGAGTGTCTTTTCCTTCATTATTTCCTTCCTGGAATATACTCAATCCATGGGATATACTGCTCCAGAACCGAACAGGCATCATTCATGGATACTTTATTGTTATTTTTTTTCTCAATCCTAACAAGGAATGTGGTGCATACCTCTTGGAAGATATCAAAAGTTTTCCGTTTCGGTATTCTGGATCCCTGTTGTTCATCAAATGATAGGATATCGCCGACACGACGATTTCTTCAATATAATTACTGAGAACCATGGTGTCTGCATGGCAAATTGAACCAAGATCATCGCATTCAAGATCATTTGCAGCAAGTACTTCAGCAATGTGGTTTTTATTATCTTGGAACTGAATCATCTTCATGTCTTCTGCCAATTGAGATTTCCAGCTGACAAGATGGTTCTCATCTTCAGGGGGCCGAATCTCAACACTATACCGGAATAAACTCGTCAATCTGTTGTCAACATCTCCGCAATCATTTTCGACATCGACTAATCGGGAACCGAGTACTAAAATAGATCCCGAGAGCTTGTTCAGAAATCTATGGAACAGATTGTACATCCTTGGTGACTGAAGAAGAAGTCTCTCAACATCTCTCAGATACAAAATTATGGAACTCGTTTCTGATACCGACATCAAGACCTGTAAGATTCAATTGATTTGACAATTTTTCAGACCATTACAAGCTCGGATAAAATAAGGTAACAGCTCATAAGTGGATTACCTTATAAAGTGACTGAAGAAAAAGTTTCTCATCAAAACACCAACCATTTGTGCGCTTGACAGAAGCTGAAAAAGATAATACTGATTTGATTTGGCAAAACTAAAGAAACAAGGAGTAGTTAAGTAGTTTCATTTCAAATTTATTTGGATTTTGAATTTAACCTGGGTTTGTTGAAGCATAGTTTGATGAGATACTACTAATATCAGATGCAGCAGAAGCGTTTCTCCGAAGTTTTGGAGGATTGGACGAGCCCTCGGCACATCTACAGATTAAAAAAAGGACCCCAAGTAGTAATAAAAACATAGCGTGCCTCTGATACAGTAGGGAACAGCTACGAATAAAATTAAGGTTTTTGTATAACAGCCCAAGCCCACCGCTAGCAGATATTGACTGCTTTGGCTCATTACGTATCGCCATCAACCTCATTGTTTTAAAACGCGTTTGCTAGGAAGAGGTTTCCACACCCTTATAAAGAATGCTTCGTTCCCCTCTCCAACCGATGTGGGATCTCACAAACCACCCCCTTTTGGAGGCCCAGCGTCCTCGTTGGCACTCGTTCCCCCTCTCCAATCGATGTGAGATCTCACAATCCACCCCCTTCGAGACTCACACCGCTCGGTGCCTAGTTCTGATATCATTTGTAACAGCTCAAGCCTACTACTAACAAATATTGTCCACTTCAGCCTGTTAAGTATCGTCGTCAGCCTCACGGATTTAAAATGCGTCTACTAGGGAAAGGTTTCCACACCCTTATAAAAAATGTTTCGTTCCCCTGTCGAACCGATATGGGATCTCACAGTTTTATTGAAACTAGATAAACTAGATATGTTATGATTAAACACGGAATATTCTACCTCGATGGAATGTCGGTCGTACTGCTTTGCCTTCTTAGGTTTCCTGTAAGAAAACGGAACAAGAATATGAGGAAAAAAGAGATGGTCAATAACTACAATTTTTGCTGTTGAACTTCAAAGGAACAGCTAAAAAATGCTGTCGTCCAGCTTCATCGATACTATAAATCAATCACAGAACAACCTTAAAATCAGCCATTAATGTTATCTGGTGCCGAGTGAAAAATGGTATGAGATCTTAAGCATGTAGAGAAAAAGAACCATTTCTTGATAAGACAGAATTAATTCATCAACTGTTGTACGAGGAACATTTGTCATGGAGATGGAAAACATGTTTTTTCTTACCACAGGTATTCCCACTTGTCGGAAGAATCGAGAAGGAATCCCAAATGCTCGACATTCGCTCCAATGTCACCTCGGAAATGGACCTCTTAAATGACTGCACAAGTAAACATACGAGGAATAACTCCTTTCCTTGTCCTCCTCAATCAATATGTCTGTTGAATTCAAGTGATCTAGAAAAATGTTCTTATCCTGTTGGCTAGAACTTACAGATTCTTTCTTGGGACAGCCATATTTGCTCTGCATCTGTAGAAAATTTAGCATTGCTGATGTAAGTGACATACGTCACAAGCTATAACCGAAAAGATGAACTTTAGTGTAGATATACCTTCAGTGAAAAGTCGGAAACGTCTAACAACAGCAACTTTGACTCGAAGTGATGCGCGAGAGCCTTGGCAAGCATCTGCTGGTAAAGTTCTTATGGACAAAAAATAAAAATAAAAAGACAACAAGATTACATCATACACTGCCCTGACAAGTATTGTTCTTGGCACGGTACTTGAGGTAGAAGCGTCATAGTTTATACCTGTTGGTCCTGAAAGCAAAATAGCTCGACTTGCTGGTGAAAGGTTTCTGGTGTGCCTCGAGATGTCGCAGTGCTTCAAATGAACATATGCAGCACTCATCAAAAGCACCCGCGTCCTCTCGCTGTGATTATGATCAGAGAAAGATCAGTTAAGAGTAGAACGTGAAAATATGAGAATGTAATGTCGAAATGTCATGAAGGATCCATAGAAAATTCTCATCGAACATTTGTGGTTGAAATAACAGTGTACACACGGTTAAGAATCACGAACCTCCATAATGGTATGATATTATCCACTTTGAGCATAAGCTCTCATGGCTGTGTTTTTTGTTCCCCCAAAAGGCCTCGTACCAATGGAGATGTATTCCTTACTTACAAGCCCATCTATGATCAACCCCTTAATTAGCCGATGTAGGACTCCTCTCCCAACAATCCTCAACACACACGTGAGATAGTAAAACTTAAAAGAGTCTCAACAGCAGAAAACCTTTAATCAAAAATGTTTTAGAAACAGGCAAGCATAATCTAAGCTCATCATCACCTCTTCCCAAGCCCGAGTAAACACCGTTAAATCGCCCCTTTCTTACTACGACATCCGTTGTGTAAACGTAAGTTTTACCATAACCTCTAATTGATTGGAGCTGGTATGTAACTAAGATTCAATGTTTTGATTGATTAATACAAACAGGGTGATATCTGGAAGGGGCCACAAATAACGATTAACTACATAAACAATCTGACTTAAAACCAAAATCTATGAGCAAGAACAAGTTTCCAGCACACCTGATCACTAACAAGAGAAGGAAATATGTTGAAAAGATGATAGAAGAAGGAATCATATCATTACCTTAGATAATAAGGAAACTCATCACAGGTGACATTGCTGTTTTTGCCATCAAGCAGCTGCCTGGTGAGCTCCTGTTCAATCTTTTGTCCTGTAATCACCTCAGAAGAGGCATTCACTCCAACCCATTTTCCAACAGCTTGTCCAGAGCTTAATCCAAGGCCCACCCCGACACCAACACCCAAAGCAGACAGAAAAATGTGCTTCTGTTCCATCACCACCACAAAATCAACACAAACTCGAAACAAAATTTCCTTTTCTCCTTTTCCCAAACAGATTGAAACACAAATCCGATCCTGAATCACTTTCAAACCCAGCAGCTATTAGGTAGCTGATGATGATCCATTGAAAGAAGAGGCAAAAATTTGGGATGAATATCCGTGGAAAGAGGGAAGAATGGTGGAGATTGAGAAGGGTATTTGCAGGGGAATGAGTTGGTGGGTGTTGTTTTGTTTTGTGTTTTTCTGGGGGAAAAAGAGAGAAAAAATTGGATTGTGAATCCGGAGAGGAGGTTGGTCGGAGGGTGTTGAAAGGGGGGTATGAGTAAAGAGAGCTATATATAGCACGGGCTGTCCTGTAATGGTGGACGTTCAAAATTGCCTTCCTAATTTACCAAACTAAAATACCCAAAAAGGCTTTACTTCCCTAAGCCTTCTTTTGACTTCCCATGGCTTTCATTGCCTTCAATCCATCCATCCATCCCCTTCACCATCAAAAACACCCCACCCTCCAACTTTTTCCCCATTTTCCCTTACATATATATGATATTTGGCTTGCCTAGCCACTAAGTCTTTGAAAAAGCAAGAATTAAAAGTGTATTGGAAAGCATACATTGTCCAAAAGATTAATCTTTCTTTCTTTTCCCCTCAAAAGTTGAATCTTTTTTGAGCTGCACACACACCACATGCGTTTTTATTTTTAATCTTCATCGGTTATTATTCAATTCTAGTTATAAATTTGGTCACTTTTGTGAATAAAACATTAATTATCATTTTAAAAGTCGAAGGTTCTATCTTCACCTTTATAATTTTTAAATTAAAAAATGATCGTGTTGTATCTTACATATTTGACTGTATTGAAGTTAATAATGTCACATTCCACGTTACAAAGTAATTTCTTTAAAAAAAATTGGTTTACAACTTATTTTAATTTATAAATTTTTAGTTTTTAAAATTTACAAATATCTCCATTTATAAGACTGTTAAAAGATTAGAAAAATAGTAATAATGGTAGGATAATTATGTCTGAAAATTAAATTTTGATTTGTTTTTATTAATTTTTATATGAAAATAAATATTAAGTAATTGAATTATTGAAATAGTATTAGTAATTATTTTATACTTTATATGGGTACATTTTACCACTTTTGTTGATAAAATTATAATTAATTAATTAAGGGTACGAAAAGTAATTAAATTAAGTTTTGTATTATTTGATATATTGTTATATTAATTAATTAATCAATTAATAAAAATAAAAATAAATGATCAATTTACTTTTGAAATAAATAATTCAATTTAGTTTCTACAAAAATAACTAAATTAATATAAATTAATTAGAATAAATAATTAATAATAAAATTCTATATGTATGTATGTGATTGCACCATGTGCATGTAGTCCCACATGATATAGTTGTGTGTAATTTTATTTTGATAATACCCTCGAACAGCTAAATTACTTAATACAACTCATATTATTTTGGTTGTACAAGTTTTCAACCCGAATTGGTTCATTTATTCAAAATTTTGTTTTTAATAAAAGTAAAAATTTAGTCGATAAATATTTATTTATTTATTTTGAACGTATTTAATTAAGATTTATCGATTGGATTTAAATATATATTTTAAAAAAATTACTTTTCAAATATTTTTAAAAGCAGTTAATAAAAAAAAAATTAAATACTTAAATAAGAAAATAATGTATATAAAAATTTGTTATAATAAATAGTACGAGCCATCGAATTTCTTAACCACTTTTACCATAAGGTAAAATTAATTATTATTATATTATATAAATTTCAGTAATTCACTGTTGGATGAATTTGATGCATGGCAATAATATCTGGATGGATGAATAATTTGAGGTGCATTATTAAGAATGTATTTGAATAATGATTGAAAATAATATACATAACTTTTCATTTAAATATTATTAGTCACTATATTAAATATAAAAAAGGACTGACATTATATTATATACTTTCGGTGGCATCGTAGCACACCACATGGGACTGCCCGAAAAGGTTTTGTCCCAATTTTTTGGTCCTTTCTTTTTTTAATTTTCTAAAATTATTAATTCCTTATTTCAAATTTTACATTAAGGCGGCTACAAAATGTATATTATAATCTTTTTTAACTTTATTTTTAAAAATTAATAATTATTTTATTTTTACTCTACCTACTCTCATTTTATCTCTTGACTTATTCTCCTACTGACGTGATGATAAATAAATTTAAGAGTGAAAATTTCGAAAATTCTGAAATTAAAAATTTAAAGAGAACAATATTTATTAGTATTACGCAGACCAATTATTTAAAATTTTGATGACCCACATGACAACCATGATGCTCAATTGGAACGCTTTAGCATAATTGTCTCATTACGCTCTTTTTCGTATTAAAATATTTTATGTTTTTTTTTTTTATTTTTAATTTTTTAATGTTCATGGGACCTTTCGAAAAGAACAAGAACAACCAATTCTCCATGCCAATAGATCTTGGTTTGTGTGTATGTTTATATTATAATATAATCTATTAAGGTTTTATTATCTTAGCATTTAATAATATAATTCAACCCTTTTTTTTTTAATGAACCAACTTGTTTAAATTCTGTGCATATGGATTTCCAATGGGTATTTCATTTTTTTTTTTATAAAAAAAACCACATTAGGAAACTATTCTTCCAACTTTCATCGAGTCAATTATCAACGGTTCAGATTTGTTGTTTTTTTTAAAAAAAAATATTTGGTGGAAATTATAATGGAGAATGGCCTTCTATTGTTCATGAAAAATAAATTAAGAGAAATTAAAATCCTATTTTATTTTTATTTGTCTATAATGTTTATTTTTTTTAAATAAAATTGGATGATTTACTCCTGACCATCGGAAAGATTTTAACACATTGTTCGAGACAAAATATTTTATCCATAATAAGGAAGCACAACATGTAACAATTTGAAAAATAATAATAAACGAGAAAGCATCATGTTTTTTTATGGCAAGATCTTGAAAATTTTGTAATCGTAATCATTATACTATCGTCTTTAACTCTATTGTTTCAAAAGCCTTAGAATTGTGCCCTCTCTTAATTTTGAAAATTGGTTTGAAAAAATTGAGGATTTGTAGTCGTGTTTCAATTGAAATTGATGTGCAACACTACCTTAGTTCGTCTCAAAGCATCGTTGTAGTCCAGCTCGGGTTATTGAATTTTCGATGGGTTTTTAGTGGTGATTTTTATTGAATTTTCCTAGTTATTGGTAGCACCACATCAAATTGGTAGATTCATTAGGTTTATTGTCGCAAGTTGGTCATGCTCATTGTGCTCTACTGTAATGAGACGTCGTGGATCATCAAAGGAGGATGCTAGAAGGAATTCTCGAAAACACCAGTTTCATGAAGCAAAAAGAAATGATCCAGCTTTAAATCGGTTCAGGTCAATGCGTGACTCAATCTCGATCAACGAAATGTTTTTTTTTTTTTTTTTTGGGTGATGTTATGCATACTTGTCATTGACCTTTCTAAATATTTTTAACTATCAAGGTAATTTTTTATGTCGGCTTTTGGTGATTCAGAGAACCCATATTCTTTTGTCCTCAAAATGAGGGGTCTTTGTCCAACTCAGCCTCACATGCTTTGGTTGTAAGTATAAAAACATATTTTTCTTATTTTTTTTCCTTTTTTGGTGGGTTACACGTAATGGCCACCTGTACTTTTCAACTTATATTTATTATTTTATTATCAGTCACGTAAATGTTTATTTAATAAACCCACAATAAAAAGCTGGTTTAAAGACAATTTAAAAAAAAAAAAAAAAATTCTGTAGTTTAACGACAAAGAAAGGTATCTTAGAAAAGATTCAAACAAGTTAGAATATTCCTCCACCAAAATCCAATCGGTTAGATTTCCGTGGAGTTCAGTCGAATTCCTTCACGTTTATGGTTCGACGTTCAAATTAATTGTTGAAGATTTCATATCGAAAAGATGAACGGTTCTTTTTATTGATATCGGGTTAAATATGACATTCAAAGCTCATGAAATTCGAAAGATTATTCAGTTTAAAATTCGAGCCAAGTTTCAATCCTAAGACCTGTGGGTTATGAGTCCACCACACTTTTGTTGCGCCACTCTGATTTTATTACACAAATGTCATCATTGTAAAGTATACCAAGCGGGAAAGGAACGTCAGGTGGGAGAGGAAGTATGTACCGTGGTAGGGTACTATTCTACCACTAGACTACTAGTCCTCGCTTGCATATCGTCTGGTGTCTAACTTTGATAAAATTTATAATAGCTTAAGCCCACTGCTATTGTATGTTATTCGTTTTGGCGTATTATGTATCATGTCAGCTCATGATTTTAAAACTTGTCTGTTAGGGAGAGGTTTTCACATTTTTATGAGGAATCTTTCGTTCCCCTCTCCAACAGATGTGGGATCTCACAATCCACCCCAAGGTTTTAAAACTGTGAGGTCGACGACAATATGTAGCAGACCAAAGCGGATAATATCTGCTAGTAGTAAACTTAAGCGGTTACACAAACGGAATTCTAAGAATTTAACTTGCTTTTCAAATTTAAAAATTAAAATTTACTCAACACTAAAGATTAGAGAAAATAAATGTGAGAAACTAAATCAATTTATACTCGTAAACTTTGCAAGTTTGAGAATAAATACGAGAAAAAAAAACTATAATATTATATGTATCGGGACTATAATTTTTCTGGTGAAAAAATAGACGATGTCTCAACTTGAGAAAACTAATTAGGTCGGGATAAGAACGGTTTTTGTTTTTTTTTTTTTGGAAAAAGGGTGAAATACACACACTACAAATACAAATAATTTAATTAGGTGAAAAGGGACAGCAAGTGGACAACCATTAATTCCACTAATTAACACACCAAATGCATTTAATATTTGTATTGATTACTTACTCACATTTCTAATTTCATACTAATTAACAAGTATTAAAAGAGAATTAAATGAATTAATTAAGATTTGTTTAATGCGAAGTACCAAATTATTCCCCACTTTCTTAATTTTCTAATAATGGAAACAACTAATATTTGCCAAATCAGGAAATTATTTATTATTTATTAATTATTTAATATTTGCCCACTTTTCCTCCTCATTTATGTGTATTAAATTATTTATATGTATATTTTATATAGTCTATTTGATTGGATGGAATTGATTGTGGTTTGAAATTAAATGAGCCTCCACTTTAAGTAACATCTTTGGAATCAATTTGGAGATTCTTTCACCTTTTAAAGATTCTTTCACCTTTTAAAGATTCTTTCCCTTATTAAATTTAGAGTCTCGATCAAAGAATTCTTTCAGCTTATTTTATCATCTCTCATATATTTTTTAGAAAAATATAAACTTAAAATTCATGTATCCTCTAAAT